TGGTTGGATGATGATTAAAATATAATTTCATCTAATAAAACCATGGTCTCAGGTTTTATGTTAACAAGCCCAAATTAATAGTTTACTTTATCTTTCTTTCATGATGGCAGATTATTCATCTTTCATAATTAGACAAGATAACCAATATTTTCAGTATTTTAAAAAATAATAAAAATAGGCTATTAATTTCAACCGACAACCTATTCCACCTGTTTGGTTGAAGTTTGATTAATCAGGAGGAGAATTATAAATGATTGATGCAAAAGGAATGCCATATTGGGTTACAGGATAAAATTTTGGAAATTTTGCTCCTCCTTTTGTTTTGATTTTGTAGGATGATGGCAGACTAGTTATCTAAGATGCTAATGGATAACCAAAATGGTATTCACATTGACATAATCCATATATAAGAAAATTATAATAAATAATATTTTTAATATCCATCTTGTCTATTTATAAGTAAACCAATATGAAATTCATAATATTTTTGATTTTCAGCAACTAATCCTTAAAGTATTTTAATTCTAATTGAACTAATTTTGAACATAATATTTTAATTAAATTATAATCATGAATTAAAGTTATTTACTCTAATTGTTTACGCTTCCTATAGCTGAAGGATTGTCTATTGTTGAATTGGATCAACTTTTAGATTACATAGCCAAAGTTTATTCTAACCAAGAAAATTATAAATCTGTAGATTTATATATGGAGAACAATTTCTCACTAAAATTAATTATGATCATTAGATCGATTTATCACTTTGATTCAATTATGTAAATGAATCCTTAAAAATACAATTCTTAAAGGTTCAAATAACTTGTCCTCTTTGCCACAATGTAATTAAAGAAACTTTCTCAAATTACATCAGAATAAGATTAGTAAATAATATTTTCTTTATCAATTCATCTAGGGATTAAATATTACAAAACTCATAATAAACATATGTCACATCTTATTGGAATTGTTTTTGAAGCATTTTAAGAAAAGAATGAATTATTTGACTTTTTATTACAATAAATGTCATAATCCTTAGTAGGTAGTCATTAATAAATGTCAACATCTATCATGTCAATATTATTTATTTTGGATTAATTGTTAAGATTTCTATTTAATATAAGAACTCTGGATTAATAACTTTAAATTATAGTTGAACAAATATTTCAATAATTCTAATTTATTGATTACTCAAGTATTGATCTTAATGTTGGAAAAACTTTAAGCAGTATAATTGTTATATGTGTATAAAAATATAATTCTTATGAATAAGAAAAATTATTAATATTATCTCGAGATTAACATTTATTAAAATTCATTTCACACTATTTATTGCAAGATAATATTATTACTTCAAACTTACTTAAATCTTTATGTATATTAATAAAAAATTAATCTTAAATCCAAGCTCAATTAAAATTTGATTAATTATAAATACCTTACTTAGCCTAATTGACTAATTAAATATTACCATTACTTATATAATCATTTTTGGAAAAGAAATTTGATCACCCAACATCTTTATCAGTCTTACAATTTGTAAATGAATGTTTGAGTTATTCCTTTTCGTATGAATTTTTTTATAATAATCAGCACCAACTGTTATTCAATTTAATATTTAATAACCTAATATTTGATGAAGAAGAAAATTAAAATTTTTATGATAATACTACAGATTTTTATGAGTATATATAAGCCATAATTATGTTTGATGTAAAAATTATTAATTTAGTTAGAATGATACAATTAAAAGTTTAATTGCATAAATTTTAGATAAACTCTCCAAAAATATAGATGGTTTCTTAAAGACATATTATGATTTATGTTATGAATTACTGTTATTTCATTTTGATGTGATTCAAGAAACAAATTTATGTAATAAATTATAAACAGAAATTATTCAATGTAATTTCTTTGTATGTAGTTCTGATTTAAGATATAATGCAATAATGTTATCTTTTTGTATTCTTAACAAATAACTTACATCAAGAAAAGATGTTAGGTAAAGTGTTGAATACTTTTTAAAACAAAATTTAAAATATATGAAAAAAAAAGCTGATTCTCTTGGTAAGTGTTTAGGAATGGAATTCATTAAAATAGTTTTGCCATAAATATTTTAGAATTCTGAAAGATCCTTTTCAAAATGTGTTAAATTCTGTTTTAGAATATTAAATTAATCAAAACAAAAAAAAGGAGTAAAATTATTTGCTGTTAAATGCTTAATTAATTTGATTTAGAGTGAGGAAGCTTAATTAAAGATGGAAGACTCAATAGCATACTAACATTTTGAATTTTGTGATCAATTAGCATTATGCGAACTTGATATATATTATGAATTTGCTTAAATTGTTATCTAAAATTGTAATTTAATTGTAGATACTTATCTTGATGATATCATGAAATCTATTGCAAAAAGAATTGATTTTGGTTGTAGAAAAATAAAGTCAAATGAAACAAAATATGTTAATCACACATCAATCGTTTTTAGTTGTATAAAGATTATTGATATAATATTGTCTTAACCATATACATTAAAATATACAGTATTTATAATAAAATATTTAATAGGCTTAAATAGAACCAACCTTAAATTAAATTTTGAATTATTTATTACAACCAGAAAACTTGCTATTTATAGATGAGATCTTTGATGCTTGTTCTAAATTCATTTCATATACAAAAGGTTTAACAGAAATCATTTATATTATTTATGATAACTTACCTACTATTATAGAAAAAGAAGGAAAAATAACAATAGAGAGTGTTTATAGACTATTTTTGTAAAGCACAATTCATGCCTCTGAGGTTGTAAAATCAAAACCTTAGTGGATATCTATAGTATATATAATGAGTTATTTCTTAGATGTTAAAATTTGTATATTCAGAACTTTAAAAAAATAATTCTATTGAAGATAATATCAGAATTTCAATTTTGATCCAGTTATTTTATCAATACTATAATTTAGATGAATGCTGTTTGTTATTAACAGAATAATTTTATAAAATACTTTCACTTTAATTATAATAAAAAGAAATATTACCAAAAACTTTTATTTCAATTTTTATGCCAGTAATTATAGACAATTCTAAATTATTAAATACACATTTAAGATAAATTATTATTAGTTCAAGTGCTTATTTAAATTTAACATTTGGAAGAGCATTAACTGTATACAATTATAAGTTTTATTTTATAATTATTCACTTTTTAATTTTGAATTCTAATCTTCTTTATGAAGAATAACATAGACAATAAATAATTGAATAATTATTCAACAATTTCCTCAATAAATATGCTGCATACATAGAAAAAATTACTTTTCATTAAAAAATTGGAACTCAAAATCTTTCTTAATAGGTAATATAAATATTAATATTAAAGTAGGAAAAAACAATCCCAAGTTTTGATCTAGAATATTAAGACAATTAATTAGAAATACATTTGAAAGAAATGTCACATTATAAAAAAGAAAATCAAATCGAAAAACAAAACTTAGTTGATCTTGAATCAACTCTTATCATGTCATAAAAATAATAAACTTAGATAGTTTAAAATATATTACAATATCTAAAAATAAATTATCCAGCAATATTATCTCAATTAACATAAGCAGATAACTTATTATTGAATTCAATATTATAAATTAGAGAAATTGATGCTTAAAATTAGTAGAGTGTAAGATAAATAATGAATGTTAAAACGTTATAAAGGAGGTCTTAAAATTTGAAATAGTACAATGTTATGTGATCTAAAAATAAAACATAGGTTTTTAAAAATTATATAATATTTTAATTTTAATAATAAATGTTAAATTGTAGTTGTAAATCCTCTTCAGTTTAAATGACAGAAGAGTAAAAAAAAGAATTGAGATGGAAAAAGGAAATAGATTTGCTTGAATATTACAGTATCCATTCACATTATCAATTTAGAAATTAAAATTGGATTAAATTGCTTCTTATATGATTATGAAGTTGAATATCAAGGAAAATAGTATTAGATTCACACATTTTGTGGAGGAGAATCTGATAAGGTTCAATTTCATCATAATTTTACAGGAAATTATTTTGATGTTACACGGTTATGGAGGATCGAATGTTCACTATTGTAGGATTTACGAACAATTAATCAGAAAATTCCGAATCTATTCGATTGACTTGCCAGGCATGGGATACTCAAGTAAATCAGATATTCTAATGGAATCATATGAAGATGCAATAGAATTCTTTATGGGAACAATATCAAAATTTATTGAGAATATTAATAGAGAATAAAAAATAATTTTAATTGGCCATTCATTTGGTGGATTTTTGGCAGCTCATTTATTCACAAGAATGCCCCATTTATTCTCAAAACTCTTTTTATTAAGTCCTGCAGGAGGTACCTATTATGATGATAGTGAAATCAAGTATAAAATCAATTAATTTAGAAAATTGTAAGATACATCAAAATATCCATTTCTATAAAGAATTTTTTTCAATTATGCTTACAAAAAATGGAGTGAACAAATTACACCTTAATAATTAAAAGACAAGTGGTATGGAAATTATTTCATCAAAAAATATCTCAAAAAAAGAATGTCTTTGTAAGGAAGAGAATATGAGGTATGGCAATCTTATGTAGATGAAATGTTAGCTTTACCTGATGGTTCAGAGAAAGCATTATTTTTATTATTGTAATTCCCAAGAGTAATTGCAAGAGGATGGGATTCTATAGAATATATTTTAACAAAGCATTCTAAATATACTGCAGAAGTTCCGATTTATTTTTATTTTGGTGATCAAGATTGGATGGATAAAAAAGGAGCATATAATCTAGCAAAGAATAACAATAATATTAAGATTAGAATAATTGAGAATGCTGGTCATTAACTTAATTTTGAAAATCCTAAAGGAGTTTATGAATAATTATTTATAGATATAATTGATTCTTCATGTAGGAGAGAACAACAAATAATGCTATCATGAGATATTTAATTATTTTATTATCATATTTTTTATCATTTTCATTACGATTCTAATTAGTAAATTCTGTTATTCATTGGTTGAAGTTATTTATTAAAGTAAGTAAATTTGTTCAATAGATGATCGATAACAGATGTAGATCCAACAACAAGGATGCAAACTAAATAAAATCCTTTAGATCTAAATACACTAAAATTTGAGAATGAAAATTACTATGAAAAGATTTTATACACTCCATCAAAAGAATTAAAATCTTCAAAAATTAAAAGAGTGAATATGAACATAACAATCATCCCTAACAAAAAAAATAAATGTGCAATTGTCCATGTATTTGAAATGATTACTATTCTTAAATTAGATATTAAAATTGCCAACCAAAAGATTACTGTACCAGTATACCAAAATGATATTTGTCGACCTGCTTAATGAGTATTTGCTTCAAAAATATATATGCTAAAAAAAGCAATAATTGTTGATGAATAAATTGAATTAATCAACATTAATAAAAATAATTTAGTATTAAAGCAACTATCTAAATAAATCATAAATTTAATTTACTTTTTTATCCAATAGAATATGTTGAATATTTATTTGAATAAAGCATTTATTCTGAATATTCTGAATCGAAAATTGCAAAAATTAATATTGGCATTGAAGTATAAAAGATATTGTAAGCTTAATATATTAAGTTATCATAAATTCTTTAACCACTAAAATTATTGTAAATGGAAAACCAAAATTATGGAAAAACCAAAATAACGTTTTTATAAAAGTTGTACAAAACTAACTCTGAATTTTTTCTATATGATTCTCTTCCATGGACAAATAGCAATTATCTTAATTATTGAAATTCTCCAATTGCATAATCTGATGCTCTTGCTGCTTATTATCCCTCAATACCATATATACCAACTCCTACATTTGCACTTGTAATCATACTAACATCATTTGCTCCATCTCCAATTGCTAAAGTTGATGCCATAGAAAAATGTTTTCTAACAAAACATACTACCTTCCATAAATTTATTATATACTTATTGTTTTTACAATGGGCTAACTCTGCAACATAAAACAGATTAACATTTTTCTGTAATTTTTGCAAATAAATTCTCTAAAACTGCATCCTCCAAAATAATTGATAAACATTCACCTGAGACCACAAATGCATCACTTTATTTTAAATTTGCAATTATATCTTCATATATTGGTTACTATATGATTGAAATATTCATCTTTTAATCAAGTAATTTACAAGATATTGCTATATTGATAGCAGTCTCAATTTTATCTCCTGTTAATACCCAAATATTAATTCCAGCTTACCTCAAACAATAAATTGTTTCGTCAACATTATCTTACAATTTGTCTTCAATCCCAGTTAACCCTAAGATTGTAAGATCTTTTTCTAACTAATCTTGTAATGCTTCCATTTTTTCTTGTCTATTTTCCATTTGAGTAATTGTTTATTTATATAAAGATTCCCATTGAACATATTCACTCCAATGTATCTCTTTATAACCTAAAAGTAGAATCCTTAATCCTTTTTCAGAATATTCAGATATATATCTTTCGAATTAATTTTTAGATTTTTCAACATTTTGGTGTAGTTGTTTCTATAACATTACTGAATCTGCTCCTTTTGAAAATAAATAAATTATATTTGTTTCTTTATCGCATACAAGTACTGAACTACATTTTCTTTAGCTAGTAAATTCAAATAAATATAAGAATTAAAACTATTTTGACTTTTCTCGAAAATTTATTGTTATAACATTGTGCTCATCAATTCCATTATATATGATTGAATATTTTTTAGCAAAGTTTAATAAAGCCAATTCATCAGGAGAAGTAACATTATAATAAAATTCATTTTGAGTTTTCTAAATTATTGCAGAATGGCACAATGTTAGTAAAAACAATGTTTTTTCTATTACAGGATCATTTTAATTTAATTTATCAATAAAAGCTTAATCTTCAAACTAAACAAAATCAAAGGGTTAATTCTTTTCATTATCATCACCATAAGAAATTCCATTTATACATATCTTTTTGAATATCATCTAATTTTTAGTCAGAGTTCCAGTTTTGTCACTAAGAATATACTAAATCTGTCCTAATTCTTCATTTAAATTTGAAGATTAAACTGAGCATCTTTAATCATTTAATTTCATTTTATCATCAAATTAAATTAAAAATGCTTGACAAAATTTGACAGTTTCTAAAGTCACTAATAGAGAAATTGGAACAAGATTTCTAAATAAAAAAATAACAATACCCAAACATTAATATCCAATTTCCTAATCTGACAAAAAAATTGTACATAAAAGATTTGTCAGCATAAGCAGATTTCTTAATTTCTAAATAAGCTAACGAATCATAGTTTGCATTAAACCATATTGAATAATATAGAGAAGAAAACAAACAAATTCCTAATTAAAGAAGAAAAATAAATATAATTCTTTTCCCTAGTTATTTTTCAAGTGAACTTTATTTATATTTAACTTTGATAGTGTTTTTCATTATTTTAGTATCATGTCCTGTATACAATGCCAAACCAATAACATGACCAGTATTTTTTAAAACACTTCCTCTTAGAATGATATTGTTGTTGTCTAAAGCAATTTTTAAAGTCTTAATTCGTTCTATTTCTTCATCTAAAGTCCTTACTTAAGAGATTAATAGACTTATTTACTCATCTTTATTCTTAGAAGATTACAGAGTTTATATTTTATCCTAAAGCTACTCCTTTTGATTTAAGAGTTAAAAAATGTCATTTTCTTGATTTTTATCCAAGTTAAAATAGCAGGTGCCTGAAAATTTATACAATTAATTGTTAGGCGTATCGTATTCTACTATTAGATGATCAAGCATTTCAACTCCCTTTTATAAAAAGTATTGTGGAACTCTTTTTTATTTCAGATTTGTTTCTCCATCTAAATTTTTCGTTTCAATATAACATTCACCTGTTTTTTGATCGCTCTTTAGAAGCAAAACATCACATGGAAACTATTCATTTTCTCTTATCTTCTTATAGTTGATATTTACTTTTAAAACTTCTCCTACTCGTATATCTTGCCATAATAAAGTTTGACCTGATTCTAAAAGGCTAGCGTTCTCATTTTCTTATTTATCACTTTTTTTTCTTTTTGTGTCTTCATATAAATCTTTCATCATTGTAACAATTAATATGAAAATTAATGGCAATAATATTGTAGGTTAACCATCTGATATTGAAATGATTGGTATTGCTTATAAAATAGCCAAAATCTTGAAATAATAAAATACTTTACTAAAAAATATAAGTTTGCTTGTTTGGTAAATTGCTCTAAAATGTTTTTTGGAAAAAAATTAAACCAATTGTATTTACTTGTTTAGACTTTATTGTTTGCATATTTTTTTATCCCAACCTTGCTTACTCTAAACAAAGCAATAGGTATTTTATGATACATGAATTTATTTTATTTTTATTAAATAAATGACTATTCCTAATTATTCTTGGAATAAAGTAATTAGAAATTTTAAGACTCTTTTAATCTTTTGCTTATATAATTAAAAAAATAATCAGTTAGTTTTATGTAAAAAGGTACTAAGGATTTTTTCCTTGAAGAGATTTTTAAATTGATAAATTAATTATTTTAAATTACCCTATTTTAAACAATTAAAAAATCAAAATATACATATATACAGATGAATCAACACCTTGATTTAAGAACAAGGTTAATTGGTACTTAAATTTAATTATTTGAGTTAATTTATAATTCAATAATAGGGTAGTGTAATAAAGTCTATAAAGGGAAATTTTTTTAAGATGTGTATTTCTTTATTGTATTATAAATTTATTAGGCAATATAGTATCATTTCATTTAGATAAGTATAATTTTGAAGCACAATTTAATATCCTTAAAAACAGGGCAAATTTAAATTTATATATTTCACTTTTAAAAGTTCTAAACTGAATAAAATGGGTTTATGTTTATCAAAAATTAACTAATATTGTTGAGATAATTAAGAATGACTGCATTTATTTCAGTAATATTCAATTTAAATTTAAAAGAAAATCATCATAATAGGATAAACAATTTTAATAAATTTAATGATTAAATTCTTATTAATTTAGGTTTAAAATAATAATCTGAGTAATCAAAATAGAAATTAGATGTAAGTAAATTCGTAAGAGAACAAACTTAATTTAAAATGATTCATTTGTAAATAAATTTCTGATTTCATCAATAATACTAATAATAATATATAAAACCCCATTTCTGGGGATTGATTATACATAAATTATTCATTCATAATATCAATCCTTTTGGGCTTATATAATGATTTCTTCTTTTTGTTTGCCCAACACTTGTTATATCTTTTCTATAAATTTCTTTTCCTCCTTTCCTTTAAATAATTTTTCATCGAAATCTTCTAGGTTGAGGATGGAAATGATCTCTTATCACATGAGTGTGTGCATCTAATTTTATGTGTTTTACAATAAGGAAATTAGAATTTGAAAATTTATGATAAATTTGCTAGTAAGGTTTTTATCAGTAGTTTCTTGATCATTATTTGTTCCTCCAGTTGCTGATTCTATTCAACTTGTTATGGAATCATTATAATATACAATAGATTTTCTATTATTTATTTCATCTTAACATTCTTCAGCTGATAACATCCAAATCAAGAAATTCATAAACTGATTTGCCTTGTAAATGGTAATCTCAGAATCTGTTTAGTAAATTACGTTTGAGCTTCTGCAGTAATTAAGCCAGATACTAACGATTAAATATCATTGAAATTGCTCACTATGAAAGTAAGGACCTATAAATATTAAAAATAACTTGAGCTTTTGCTTAAAATCCATTCTTCTTTAAACTTTAAACAAGTATAACATTTTGTAATTTGTTATTTGTCTTAATTTATCTTCATTTTCTTTTATCGATCCATTATTTTTCACTTTAATCCAATATATTTGCATTCGTACAATATTGGAAACTAATTTATAGTAATTATGTCTAAAGAAAATTTAAAAGAAATTCCTCAAAAATCTTTTTTATTTATTAATAACCTCCATTTTAATTGCACTTTTACAAAGCACAAGGACTAAATCACTATTTTATAGTTAGATATAAGCTTTACTTCTTTTAGAAAGCTGTGTAGTGCTTATAGAAAATCTATTCCCTTCTCATCCAATACATGAAGAAGTTTCATGACTTAATATAATCTCTCCCTATTAACTGTGTAAAAAAACTTTAAAAGTCTATTAAATTAATCTTTGTATAGCAATCCTCCCTTTTACTTCTTTTGATCTGTTCCACGATCATATAAATATTTAGTTTTGTACCCAGTTCTCTGATAAATTTGATCTAATTATTCAATATGCCTCCTTCCAAATAAGTAATTAGCTTTTCCCTAAGCTTCAACTCCATGATTTTGAACATTAGGCTTAATATTAAAAGTGGCCTGAATTCTTTACTTTATTGGATATTTGGGTTTACCTTATTTATTTGGGCCAGGCTAGTTCAGCCAAGATTTTTATTGATTTGTAAACTGTTTTACTTCTATATTAATGAAGAAGCTGAGGGTTGCAGGATTTAATAAATTTTTGTGAAACACAATCATATGATATTGCTTTATCTCTTTTCATTTGTCTTTTTAATTCCTATACCTGTAAAATTGTTAAATCGTTCAGGGTAGGTAATTCTATTGTTTTTGTATTTAACTTTGTGTGGATACTTATCAAATTATTCCATATAGTTAACAAAATCCTCTTGGTTTTTGCGTATTATTCAATTTTAGTCCATGAAGCAGCTGAATATTCCATCAAGGCTTTTCTGATACCTCAATATGATTGTTTCTTCATCAATCCAAAGAATTCAACTTTGTCTTTAGAAAATAACCATCAAACTATGTATTCTTTAGTCTGTATTTGAGGTATTTCAATTATTGCTACTATTAGTAAATGATCAGGCCTTACATGTTATTCTTTCAATATCTAATTTCTGACTTCTTGCTCACTAAAATATGATCTGTTTACGATCTGTAGCTTTTTCAGTCTACCTACCTTCGAGAATTGATTGTATGCGTTGTTTCTTAATAGGAATCCATAATAATAATAATAATAATAATAATAATAATAATAATAATAATAATAATAATAATAATAATAATAATAATAATAATAATAAGCAATGATGAACTTAAAATTTAATTAAAATCTACTATATTTTACAACTATTAAAAATATCCAGAAATTATCCAATTTGAAAAATTTAAGTATTTCTTCTTTAAAATTCAGAACTCCTTCACTTACTTAAAAAATATCATTTTTTAAATCTTCTCATCTATTTTCATCCTAATCAACTTTAAAAATCATGAAGATATTATGATAAAGATTAATTGCAACTAACTCTTTTCAAACTTAGCTCTTCTTCTTTGTGATATAGGTCGGATTGATAGAGCAATAATAGATTGTAATTAAATGATAAGGATTAATAAAAATGATGGTAATGCTTATTTTAACTGTTGTATTGAACATTTTGAAAAAAGGGTTTTATTTGATCAGATAGATTAGAAATAAATAAGCCCTTAATTATAATAAAAAAATTGAAATAAATTCAATCTATTCTAGGGCTCTAATAAATAGAAGCGAGATTTTGATCAAATGTTAGGTTTATTATTTTGGAGAAAGTAAAAAAAAACAAAAAAAGACTGTATTTCTGGTTTATAAATATGTCCAAGTAATCCTCCTTATCTCGCAATAATTGGAGATTTGCATTATCAAGATTTTTAATATTAAAAAGTGCATTATCATTTCACTCAAGCTTTAAAAATATTGAAGGAATGTAACTTGGAGATCAAGTTAAACGGAATTAATAGATAGATACATATGTTTCATAAAATTATAACTATAAATTTTAGAAGAAATAGAGTGTGATATCATAAAGGCAAAAAAGCAAATATCTCTTCTGCCTAATTCATCTGCATAAGATCAAAATCAAGTGAATGAATATTTCGAGAGAGTTGAGAGAATAGAAAGATCAGTTACTGTTATAGTTTTGCCAAACAATGAAACATAGAGACCAGAAATGCAATAAAATATGATCAAACAATTCTAAAATATATAATAATAACTAAAAGAATTATAAAAACAGTTTTAAAAATAAAATGAAGTTATTAACAGGATATAGAATTTAGATAATATCTAAATAGAATTTATGATGGAGGAGTTGAAAAAACCTAAAAATAAGCGTTAATTCATATATTATAAATCATTATTTAGAGATTTTACTTCTATATGCATGCTTTAGGAAATTTCAAAAAATTAATTTTAAGTAAATAAAGATGCCTTTGTTGAAAGTACTTCAGAAAAAGGTCTTAAGTTTAATCTAAAATTCTTTGAAAGCTGGATCCAAAAACTTAGAGCTATTGCCAATTATTGGAGGAGCATTTAATATTATTAATTCTGTATTAGATTATGGAGTAGAATATCAAAAGGAAGCTAAGTTTAAAAGTAGGATAATTCTTTTGATTAATATTATGAAAATATTTGCAGCAACTCTTACTGAATTAGAGAAGGAAATATAATTTGCAGCAATCAAATTAAGTAAATTTGAAGAGCCTGGATTACGGGAAATACAGATATCCAAATTCATATAATTTGTGGAAAAATTATCTTTATTAGAAAATTCTTCAGAATAATATAGCAGAGATCCTTATTGGAAGAAAGGAACAGCAGATTCTTTAAAACTTTAAAAATATTTAGAGGAGAATAATGATATGATTATTATAGAAGATTAGGATAAAAAACTAAGGCAAATATTGATTGATGCTCTACTGAAAAATTACAATTCAATTTCAAATAAAATGAATAAATCTGAAAATAAGACTTCTAAGAATAAGGAAGATAATAATAAATGCAACATATAATGATTTATGATAAAATTAATGTGAATATAATATATTGTTATTCTGATAATTAATGTGAATAATTTATTAATATTATTGTGAAAATTTAATTCAAATAGATTATTAATTAATACCTTCAAAATTGAACTAGACAATAAAATCAACATAAAATTAATAGTTTTTCAACAAATTTAAAAGTGGTTTGAAAGAGAACAAAAATAAAGGTTCATTATTATTATTTTTAAATAGAAGTGCAGAAAGTATGAAATACACACCTCTAACAGACTATATATCTTTATTGAATTTACAAATGCATTAATTTTCATTTTAAGACAAATATTGCTTTTAATTTTTCACAATATACATTTATCATCTTTCTAGTGATCATGAAAAAGTAAACATAATTGATTTTACAAAAAAGGATGATTTCCATAATTTTTGTAAGCATATAAGAATATGATCTTTTAGTAGAACACAAAACAATAATATTTGCTAAATTAGTATAAATTATAGTTTTTTGGACTTTATTTAAATATCACCAAGTAGTTTAGAGGTAAAATGCCGCCCTCTCACGGTGGAGATCCAAGTTCAAGTCTTTGGGTTGGTGAATTTTTTTTTTAATAAATTATTTTTTTAATTTAATTTCCTATTTAAATCAATATATTGGTTTAATATAATAACGATATCAACTAATGTTTAATTTAATTTAATTTAATTTTCTTGTCTTGATTACATTTTTCTAAACATAATTTGAAACTAATAAAATACCATTTTAACTTCGAATATGATATAATTTTCCCTATTTTGAATTGATTCTAATACCTAGCTTTTTACTTTAAATACTTTTATCTTTCAGCTCTAAAAAAAATGCAACGTTTTAAAATAGATAACATTAAATTCTTTTTATTAACTTTTTATTGCGACTCCATTAATTTTTCATCATGATTTTCTGTAATTGATATTTATATGCGTTCATTCACTCATTTTCAAATACTTTTGATTTTCTACAGTGTTTTATTCAATACAAAATTTAATTGTATTTTTGAATTAGTTAGATTGAGAAAATTTAAAGAAAAATCTATTCAAATTTTCTATTTTTGTTTTATATATAAAATGATTATCATAACTTGATTTTAAAAGCAATATAGAAATCTTAAATATTTGAAAAATAAAAAATTGAGTTCCTATATCAAATTATTGGTAAATAAAATATTCATTATAGGTATGAGATTATTAAAGCTTCATTTTATATATTATTTTCTTAAAAAGTATTATTATTATTACTTAACATATTTTTTGACTTATTCAGTGTGTCAGTAAGTATTCATTAGAAACACTAGATGCTCTTTTAATTGACTAAAAATTTCATATTAATACAAAGTGATGACTCTGAATTTCACAACTCCATCTATCTTGCCTGTATTGCAATTTGTTAAAATTATCTTCTATATGTATAAATAAATAGATAGATTCGATTTTTCTCATTTATTTTAACATCAATATTTTATTTTTATTTTAGTTAATTATTTATCATTTTTAAGATAGTAAGTTAAATTTTTAATTGAATGATAAGAATAAACACACTGTTATAAGAAATAGTTTTCTGGTATTCAACCATTCAATTTATACATTTATCATTTTAATTCAATTTTTAATTCAAATGGTGAAATGTAAGCTCCGATTAGTTTATTTAGGATTAAAAGTAAATATTATTGATCAAGCAATCCTAATGGATAATCGTTAATTTTTTAATTAATAATTTACCCTGGAGTTACTGACTTTGTAAGTATTCTTTTTCATGTTTTATAAAAATTTTATAGATGCATACTTATACTATTAAATTCTTCATTCTGTTGATATACAGATTAATGATATCTCCATTCTCCTTTAAAATTTTAAATACTAACAAATTTTAATTTTCTTTTCCAAAATTCATTTACTTTGAGTAAATAATAAAAGAGAAAAAATACAATAGCTGTTATCTCTTCATTCTATATATTGGTTTTGGAAAAAAGGAAATTTTCATTTATAGTTTCTAGGATAAATTTAGAGGAAAGCACAAATGCGAAACACTAATAAAAAAGAATTTTACTCCACCATCTAATAAATGAAATAAGCTTTATTATTTTCATTCTACATGAAATGTGTTAATTTGTGATAATCTATGATGTATTTTATAAAATTTANTTATTGGTAAATAAAATATTCATTATAGGTATGAGATTATTAAAGCTTCATTTTATATATTATTTTCTTAAAAAGTATTATTATTATTACTTAACATATTTTTTGACTTATTCAGTGTGTCAGTAAGTATTCATTAGAAACACTAGATGCTCTTTTAATTGACTAAAAATTTCATATTAATACAAAGTGATGACTCTGAATTTCACAACTCCATCTATCTTGCCTGTATTGCAATTTGTTAAAATTATCTTCTATATGTATAAATAAATAGATAGATTCGATTTTTCTCATTTATTTTAACATCAATATTTTATTTTTATTTTAGTTAATTATTTATCATTTTTAAGATAGTAAGTTAAATTTTTAATTGAATGATAAGAATAAACACACTGTTATAAGAAATAGTTTTCTGGTATTCAACCATTCAATTTATACATTTATCATTTTAATTCAATTTTTAATTCAAATGGTGAAATGTAAGCTCCGATTAGTTTATTTAGGATTAAAAGTAAATATTATTGATCAAGCAATCCTAATGGATAATCGTTAATTTTTTAATTAATAATTTACCCTGGAGTTACTGACTTTGTAAGTATTCTTTTTCATGTTTTATAAAAATTTTATAGATGCATACTTATACTATTAAATTCTTCATTCTGTTGATATACAGATTAATGATATCTCCATTCTCCTTTAAAATTTTAAATACTAACAAATTTTAATTTTCTTTTCCAAAATTCATTTACTTTGAGTAAATAATAAAAGAGAAAAAATACAATAGCTGTTATCTCTTCATTCTATATATTGGTTTTGGAAAAAAGGAAATTTTCATTTATAGTTTCTAGGATAAATTTAGAGGAAAGCACAAATGCGAAACACTAATAAAAAAGAATTTTACTCCACCATCTAATAAATGAAATAAGCTTTATTATTTTCATTCTACATGAAATGTGTTAATTTGTGATAATCTATGATGTATTTTATAAAATTTATTTTTAATGATTATGCTAAATTTAAATTTCTAAAGTAAACATATAGATTTCATAAATTATTCTTTCTTTAAAAGATTTTCTCCTAATTTTGAGAATTGAGCTATACAATCAGTTTTTCTCTCAAGAAGAATCATTTGCTTTTTGTTTGTGAATTGGGAAGTATGATAATTAGATGTAGTAATCCTCAAAAAAAAAATGGGAGCAAAATCTTTGTTTCTAAACTTTTTCTTAAAATATTGATAATAGATTACTCCCTTAATTCATGCAAACAAAAAATAATTAAATTTTTTCCAAAAGAGTATGGAGTTTCCAAGAAATAAGGAATAAGATACAATCAAATAAGAGTAATTACAAAAGAAACGAGAAACAAAAGAGTTATGCTTTACTCGCAATTAAAAAATATAAGAAAATATATTTCAATTTAGTATTAAAGTTAGGCTCTTTTAATTAAATATATATTATAAGTTAAATAATTAAAAATGGCTAAATTTTAACTAATTAACTAGATAAAAAAATTAAATACATCTAAATTTTATAAAATCAACAATTTTATCAATTAAGTTAATTAAAGTTGAAACTCTTGTATGATGCATTTTTTAATTGTATATTATTAAAAAAATTGTGATATAGTTTTTGAGTTTATTTGCAAAGTGAAATTAATAGCTTTATAAGAATTATATTTAAACTAATTTAATTGTTTTTTGGAAATATATTTTTTTCAAATATTTCTAAAATCATATATAAATTATTTTATTTTATTTTAATCTTATTATTCTTTAATTTAGATAAAAATTGTTCAATTATTAAGAACTGAATAGATAATTTGATTTAAGACATTATTGATGTAATTATTTCCATAATAACATTATAAAGTTTTAGACTATTATGTATATCTTAATATGATAGATAATATTTCTATTGTATAAGATTTTGAAAATTAATTTAAAGTTTTTAAAAATAATAAAAGAACTTATTAATTTAAAAAATTAGGAAATGTTACTTAAAAATAATAAATTGATTTAAGAATTATTATTTTATACTCTACCTATTGATCTTTAGAATAAAAAGTTCCTATACATAAAATTTTGAACAATTACTTGAAAAATATATTTATATTATTTGAATCCATTATATTACAATATTTTAGGAAATTCATAACTAATTATAAATATAAAATAATATAAGTAGACTTATGAAATTGAAGACGTTTTATTAAGACATTGCTGATCAAGTATTTTATACCAAGAACTTGATGATTCTATTTTTACAGTTTAAATTTCCAATACTGAATTTAACTATAGAATTTTATAATATTGATTTCTAATAACAACTAAAACATTTTCTCTTATAATTAAATTTAATAAAGATGAATTTTATTTTTTTATATTATCTCTATAAAATAAACTTCAAAGAAAATTGTACTCTGATTACTTTACAAATAACTTCAATTCTCAACAGATATATTTTTGTTTTCATCTTAAAATTGATGAATTTGATTTATAATTTTTATTATTGTAAGATTATAGCCCACCCTTCTCCAAAACTTCAAATGAATACCTAAAGAGCTATCTCATCTTCCATCATATTAAGATAATACATTTTATACACCTTAAAAACTCTGCATCAGTTTTATAATGATATCTACAAAACAAAATTTCAATATACCCGATTTTCTTGAATATATGGGCTCATACACTTAAAACCTAATTATCAACAACAGACAATTATGGAGATACCTTTAGGAATTTATAAGCCTCTTCTATTCTTAAATTATAATTATAACATACTTGACCCATAAGTAATTTGCTTTTTGAAGCAATTGTATATAAACTGATGATAAGCATTTGGACCCAGGATCACATCAAGAACAACTAACTCGGTAAACCACAAAAAATAGAATTACATGGTAAGTTTACAAAGGGAAAATTTTTGTTCAAATTTCAAATTATTAAAGGTAAACATTTAACTCTAATCATCATCCAAGCAATCATTAGAGCTGAGCTGAAAAAACTCTTGATGATTATTCTAAAAGATAAAAATAATAATGATGTCAATTTAATCATTTAAATAATTTTGATTTAAATTTAAAAATCAAATATTGCTTATTTACTAAATTGAAAAAAATTAATCATTAGATTAATTTAAATCTCTCATCATTAGGAATTTTTATATAAATATTTTTAATGAAAATTTTAATTATCATTTGCTTTTTAGCTATGGTCTTAACACAACAAGTTAAACACTCAAATCAATGTAATGACTGTGGATAATTAAAATCACAGAATGATTGTGAATAGGAGACTACTGTGACAGGAGCTTGTGAATGGGTGGCGGCATCAGGAACAACTCCAGCAAAATGTTAGAAAAAAACAACTGTTGATCCAGTCACTTCATTCAAACCTTATTGTGAACTTATTGATAAACCAGAAACAAATTGTGCTAAAACATTTGGTTGTGCTTATGTTGATATGAAATGTACACATTTTACAGGATGTCAAGCATATGTTTAAACAACAACAACAAATTGCTAAGCAATATCCTATTTATGTGTTAGTGATGGAAATACTTGTATCTAAGCTAAGGAATGCAAAGAATATACATAATAATAATGTGAATCAACTCCAAGTGTTTCAGGAATACTTAAATGTAAATGGGACACAAATTCTGGAGCTTGTAGAGATTATGCATGTTCAGAGGCAGATGTTAGCTTAAATACTGATGAAAAATGTTCGGCTTGGTTAGCTGGTTGTGTGACCAAAGGTTAAGGTTGTGTTAATACACCAAGACCTGCATGTGCTACTTATACAGGAGATGATGTAGCATGTTAATCTTTTATTGGATCAGATGGAAACTGTGAATTAGCTACTGGTACTACAAATTGTAAGGCAAAGGAATGTTTTAATGCTCCAACATCATTAAGTTCTGATGATGATTGTAAAGCCTATTAAAAAGGATGTATAACAACAGGAAAAGGTTGTGTTTTAGCAACAACAAAACCATTATGTTCTACATATTCAGGGGATAATACTACTTGTGTTGGATATATTGGATCAGATGGTGTTTGTGAAGGTGATGCTGGTGGTTCTAAGTGCAGAGCAAGAAAATGTGAAAATGGCACATTCAATACCGATGACCTTTGTAAATAATACTAAAGTAGCTGCAAAACAAATGGTAAAACATGTGTTTCATCATTAACAGCTTGTAATACATATAAAGGTACTGCCACAACTTGTGCTGTATATATTGGTACTGATGGATATTGCAAAGGAACAAGTACAACTACTGAGGCTTCTTGCTTACCAAAAGTTTGTGATGAAGCTCCAGATACAACTACAACTGATGATGCTTGTAATAAATATTAAATTGGATGTGTAACTACAGGAAAAGGATGTGTTACAAAAACTAATTTGAAATCTTGTGCTACTTATGATGGTGATGCTACTAGTTGTTAATCAAGAGTTGGATCTGAAGGTAAATGTACATGGAAGACTGGAACCAACTGTGTTGCTAGAGATTGTACTTAAGCAGCAACCAATTTAAATACTAATCCTCTTTGTGCAAATTATTTCACTAATTGTGTTACTACTGGATCGGGATGTGTTTCATAAACTACTTGTGATTTGACTGTTAAATAATAAAGTTGTGAAGGTACTAATAATTGTTCATGGTAACCTATTTGTACTAGTAATTCAAATTGTAGTGAATTTAAGAAAAAATCAATTTGTTTAGCAAATCAAGCTAGAGTAAGGACTTTTGATAAAAACGATGAAAATGGAAATCCATTATATATTTTTGTATCCAAAAAATGTGGTTGGTTGAATAATTCTTGTAAAGAATTGTCTTGCTCAGATTTAACAGGACCTTATTATAATAATGATACTAATTGTGCAGCAGAATTATCAACATGCATTAGTAATAGAATTGATGCTTGTATAACTAAATATGAATGTAGTAAACTTTCAGGAACATAATCCACTTGTTTAAGTTATCCAGGCTATTGTACTAATTCATCGACAGCTACTGATACTACTCCTTGTATATAACGAAAGTGTTCAGATAATACAGAAGCAACTGATAATGCTACATGTGCTTCATTCTTACCTGGATGTATTAGTAATGGAAAAGGTTGTGTTGATTACACTACTCCATGTACATCAATGAAAGGAACTTAAGAAACATGTGATAAGATATTTGCTTATAAGACTGGATCTATTGATAACTTTACAACAAATTAATGTTACAACAGTTCAATAGCCACTGAAAATGATTATTGTAAAATCAAAACATGTAAATTAGCAGAAAATTAAAATGATGGTACATGTGGTTCATTTTTAGAAGGATGTGTTTATAATGGAAATGGAGGATGTGTTGATCCAAAAGCTAATGACACAACTTGTGCAAGTTATACAGGTGTTTTAGCATTTTGTGAATCTGCTATTGTTGGTAGTAATAGTTCTAAATATTGTTTTGGAACATCTACATCAGCTACATGTACAGTTAGAACTTGTACAGATAATAAAACTGCAACAAAAGATGAAGAATGTGAGTCTTTCATGTCAGGATGCATAGCTAAATCTGAAGGAGGTTGTATTAATAGATAATCAAGATCCTGTTCTTAATAATCAGGAACTGTTACTTCTTGTCCGAATTTTAGTGGTGGTTTATAAGTCTCTTCAGTTTGGAACAAAATTGCATGCACAAAATATGATGCTTGCTAAGATAGATTATGCTCAGATAAAACAAGTCCTTAATCAGCTTAAGATTGTCTTGATCATAAATCTACTTGTAGATTCTTTAAGGCTGGATCTGCATGTATTAATGAAACAGCTTGTAGCAGTTATAATCTACCTGACACTGCAACTAATGATTAATAAAAGTTTGATTACTGTACAAGTATCAAAGATAACTTTGGGTTATTATGTGGTTATACATTAGGAGCAACTAAATGTTCATAGAGAACATGTGAATAATTCTTAAGCACATATACTTCCTTATCATGCACAACTTATTTATAGAAAAATATCTCCACTTCTACTGATGATACATGTAAATTAGCAGGAACAACATGTTATTTACCAAATAAAAAAGATTGTGCCTATAGTTATACTTCTACTGATACTACTGATACCCTCAAATTAGCTCAATGTAGAAGATTTGTAAATGACTAAGGACATCAATGTTCATTCAAAAAAGGTGATACTAAATGTAGTTTATAAGATAGTTGCGAAAAATTAATTGATTAAAGAGATGCAAGAACCTGTAATGATTAAAAACATTTTAGATCTCTCGGACTATGTTAAAAAACCACTGATTCAAATTGTCTAACCTTATCTTTGATTTGTTCTTACTATAAATTTGATTCTACATTAACTACTATTTAAAAATAATAATTTTGTTGGGGATTGTGGATTGCTGATGATCCAACAAGAATAGCAACCCCATTGGCATATTATAAGAAATGTGTGTTTAAAACAGGTAGTTCTTGTGAAGTTCTTACTGATTGCTCAGATATTTATTCAGCTTCAAGTTTTTTAGAATGTTCAATACTTTTATCAGGATGCTTATATTTTAGAGGTAAGTGTTACGCTTCTGTTTCTTCTGGCAACTGTCCCTCAACATTTCCACCTGGAATAACAACAGATTCTTAAAAATCTATGTATTGTAGAAGTATCAAAGAAGATAGTGATTATTGTAGAATAAAATCTGATAAAAGCAAATGCGAACTAGCAACTAATGCTGATTGTGCTAGTATTTAAATTCCTACTTCAGGTAGTTGGGATTCCTTTAGTGATCCAACTTCAAATGCATTCAAATCTGCTTATTGTCTAGCTCAATCATATAAAAATAGAAGCAAATTATGTAAATATACTTCTGGAAGTAACTGTAGTGATGCAACATGTGCAGATATTCCATCACCAACTAGTTAAGGAGATTGTGATAATTACATATATGGATGTATGTATTTTAATAATAAATGTTATGCATCAGGAAGTTTTTCAAAAGATATTGATTGTGCTGATAATAATAAAGTACCAATGGATTCAGGATTAACATAAACATAAAAATTAGCATATTGTTAATTATATGTAAGCACTAGTGGAACACTATATTGTACATTTGATTAATTTAATCCTACTTCTCAAACCCAATGTGTTATTGGTAGTAGTTGTAATGCCTATACAAACTTGCCAAATACTAATGATGATGATAGATCAACATATTGTTTAAATAAAATTAATAAATATGGAAGGAGTTGTGCATTCACAGAAGGTGACACTACATGTAGAGATTTTAATTGCTAGGATATAAAAAATCCAACTAATTAAATAGATTGTGACTAACTTTCATGGGGAGGATATTGTGCTTATTCTTAAGGTAGGTGTTATAAATGGACTGATGATTGTAAAAATATCCTTGCTTTAAGTGGAAATGAATAGTTTTATTGTGAATCATTATTAACAACAAAATAGTGTACATACATCTCAGGAACAAAATGCACAGATTAAACAGAGTGTCACCTTTATAGTGTAAATGAAAATTAAGCATCTATTTGTGCAAAATTGACAAATGGAACAGATAAATGTACATACATTTCTGGTAATAATTGTGTCATATTGGGTGCATGTGAAAGTTATGATGGAACAGATACAGCAGAAAAGGGACCTGCAGAAGGTTCAGAAGAGATAGAATGTAAAGCAGTTAAATCAGTAGACGGCTATCCATGCATTATGGATTCTATTAAAAAATGCAGAACATAAGTTTGTACTGATAACGATGCAAGTGCTACAGATTGTATTAATAATGCTCCAGATTGTCTCTATTATTCAAATAAATGTATAAAAAAAGACAGTTGTGCAAAATATACACCATAAGGTGATAATGATACATCTAAATAAATATGGTGTGAAGGAGTCTAAAATGATACAGGAGATTTTTGTGCCTGGGATTCTGCTAATTCAAAGTGTAGAGATAGGTCGTGTAGTGATAAGGCATTTTATACTGATTTCGATTGTTAAAGTTATCATAAATCTTGTAAAACAAACGGAACTATATGTATTGCATAAAGTAGAGCATGTACTTCAAACAATGGTTCAGCTGATTTTTGTAATTCCTTATTAGACTCAACAGGAAAAGATAGATGTAGACCTATTGCAACTGCTACTACTACATCCTCCCCATGCACAATTAGAACTTGTTATGACAACGTTACAGCAACAACTGATTCTGAATGTGATACTTATTTAAGTGGATGTGTCACTCGTGGTACAGGATGCATTCCAAATTCAGAACCATGTACATCATACAGAGGAACTAAATAATAATGTGAATAATTTAAAAAATATACTGGATTAGATGATAAGAAAAATCCTACTTATGAATATTGTTCTGGAGATGCTGGAAATATTGTCATAAGTAAATGTAAAGTAAGAACTTGTGCAGATAATACTACAGCTACATCGGATACTGAATGTGCTACTTATATGAATGGATGTATTACCAAAGGTACTGGATGTCTTGATGCAACTTCATCATGTACTGTATTTAAGGGAGATTAAGCAACATGTGCTAAATTCTTGGGTAATTCAGGTAGAGATTATTGTTGGAATACTTCAACTGCATTAGTTACAGCTAATTGTGCTAAAAAGAAGTGCAGTGATGTTTTAGGAAAAAACAATAAAGAATGTACTGATGGTATGCCACCATTTAAAATTACTGATGATCCTTTTTGTGTTTTTGATGGAACTTCATGTATTGATTATGGAAAGAATTGTAATGCATTCAATGGAAATGAAGAGACATGCCCTACCTATTTAGGTAGAGACGGTCCATGTAAAGCTACAACTGTTGGAACTCTTAAAGGATCATGTGCTAAGAGAGTATGTACAGAAGCACCTAATTCTCTTACAACTGATGCTGATTGTTAGAAATATCATAAAGATTGTTATACAACTGGTTATGGATGTACAAGTACTAAGTAGTGTTTTAATTTGACATCATAAACTGCTTGTAAATTAAGAGAAGAGTGCACATGGGCTAATTAATGCACAAATGCTATTACTTCATGTTCTACTTAAAGTAACACTAATTATTCATAATGTACAAATTCTAAAGTGAATGGTAAGTTTTGTGCATGGTAAGAATCTAATTCAACTTGTAGAGCTTAAGTATGTGAAGATCAACCAGCAACAATTACTTCTCATGCTTAATGTTAAAATTTTGCTGATACTTGTACAACAACTGGAGCTGGTTGTATCACTATTTCAACCTGCACATTATACAAGACCCAATCTATCTGTATAGCTGCCTCAACAACTAAAGATGGAGTTGGAAGATGTGGTTGGGACGTCACAACAAATAAATGTAGAAATAGAATTTGCAGTGATAGGAATGGAATAACTGATGAAGAATGTAACATTTTTTTGTCAGGATGTAAAACAAATGGATCTGGTTGTGTGACTGGAGCCTCATGCACTGAATTCAACAATAAATAATTCTGTATTAAATCCAACTCAGGACCATGTCTTTGGGTTAATGGATAATGTTATGATTATGACAGATGTGAAGATGCTTTAAAAAAGTCACATTCTGAATGCTAAGCATTTTCTCCATTATGTACAACCAATGGAGACACATGCATTCCTATTACATCCTGTGCCAACACATCATTAAAGGCTTCCTGTGTTGTGGGAACTGATGGATCTTGTGGATGGTTACCTACTGGAAAATGTTAGAAGTTCGGACTATGTACAGATGCTGTGGCTGCTACTAATGATGAATGTCTCTCTTATGGATCAATATGTATTACTGATGGAACAGCATGTTTAGCTAAGTCAACTTGTGGTAGCTACAAGACATAAACAGCATGTAATAACAATGGAACTGATGGTATATGCTTTTGGAATGCTACAACTAATACTTGCAAATTGAAGGAGTGTGGTGATGAATAAAAGGGTACTAATGATTAATGCAAGCTTATTTCTGTCACAGGAGGATCATGCACAACTGATGGAACCAAATGTATACCAATATCAACATGCTCTAATTATGTTGAAGCTGGATGTTTTAATGGGACTGATGGAGAATGTACATTTGCATTACCAATTGGAGCTACTACAGGAAACAAAATCTGCAGATTAAAATAATGTGAAGATATTTCTAGTGGAACTTCAAATGCTAACTGTACTGGAGTTATCTCTAGAAAGTCATGTGTATCAAATGGAATAAATTGTATTTCCAAGTCTACCTGTTCAACTTATAAAACTATTACTGCTTGTAATGGAGGTGGCTTAGAAAATAATAAATCAATTGTTTGCGCTTTCACTCCTAATGAAACTGATAAAGTTAATGGAACTTGCAAGACATTCTCAGCATGCACTGATGCTAGTAAAGATAAACTCGCTTGCACAACTAATCCATCATGTAAATGGACTGAAAACTCAACAGGGACATCCTGTGTTAATCATTCATGTGATACCTTTGCCACAGGAACTGATTGTTAACCAATTCCAAGCTTTGATGGAACTTCATCCACAATTTGTGTTCTTTAAAGTGGAAAATGTGCTGCTACTGATCCAGGAACAATGACAGATTCCAAAATTTGCTATACTAAATCAGCTTACACTTATAGTTGGAATGCTGCTACAAATAAATGTGAAAGTTGCCTTTCAGGATCTGTCAATCCAAATGTTTCAAATAATACAATAGATAATGGAGTAACTACTGAGAGTGCTTATATATTGTCAGCTGTTTCATTAGGTATTTTGGGATTAATGGCATGATATTTATTTTCATATTATGATACATGGGCAAATATATTAATATTACAATTTATTTTTATTTCTTAACATCATTCTTAGACATGTAGGAATATGATTAAAAATTCTAAAGAACTTTGCATAGGTTTCAATGGTAGATTATTATCTTAATCGATAGGGATTTTTCGATAATAAAGTATAAATATTATTAACCTTAATTATTTGTAAGTATTATAAATATTCAGATGATCATTTTTAACCAAGTAGTATCATCTTGAAAAAATTATATATTGGTAAAACAAAACAGTAGAAGGTCAAGTTAATTTGCAATGGACAAGTGTTTAAACAATTTGCTTTAATGAAACGAAACATAAATTTTATTAAGATAAACTAAAAAGTAGAGAAATTGATGATTAAAAATAAATAAATAGTATAACTAAAATGCAATATAAAAAGTATAATATTTAACAATTAAAATAAAATGAAACAAAAAGCAGAACTAAAATGAGTTATTTCTGAATATTTTAATTTGCTAATATTAGCCAAACGGTTTCATTTCTTTAAACTCCAGAAAATTTATCTTTACAAATATAAGGAACAGAGAAGCAACAATTTTTAATTTTTGCTTTAGAAAATTCTCTAGCAGATAAATCTGAGTTTTTTATCACTTCTAGATAATCTCAAACAATAATTAAATAGCAAACACCACATTGCTAAAATTAATAAATTGTGATCAAAGTCTAGCATAGATCAGAAAATTATAAATTATGTAGTAATTTCAATATATAAATTGTTTTGAAGAAACTAATTGAAATTAGTAATATTTTAAAATATAATATTACGATATTTGATTCAGATAAAAAGTAAATTAAAATAAATTTTAAAGGATTAAAAACAATTAATTTAAAGTTGATTAGTTTTAAGCATTCCATACATAGATGGAGTAACGCTAATAATAATGCTAAAATTTTTTTGTCTCGTTAATTAACATTAAAAAGTCTGATTTATTGATAAACTGAAATATCAAAAACCTTACATGATATATTAATAAGCGGATAGACTATTCGAATGTAGAAAACTTCAACAAATTAATTGATATAGGAAGTATATAATTTTTAATAAAACAAGGGATAATTAAGAATTATTGGAAATTAAACTAATTAAATGAAAAAAATTATAGAATAAATTATGCTTAAATAAAATTGGAGACAACTTTAACAATTAATTATAAGGACAAGAAAATATATTTATATGAAGAAAAAGATATATAATTATGATCTAATAATCAGTCAGTTGTTGCGGAGCATTAAATCAGTAAAACCATAGAAATTGTAAATTTTAGTATATCATGTGCAAAATAATAAAATGGATAATATTTTGGGTAGACGAAATTATTTGTAAACTAAAATAAAAATTATGTATAATATAATCAAAGCAAGGATCATAAGATAGAGTTAATGAAAATATTAAAACTATCTGATGGTTTAGGGTAATCGATCATATTAAGAGCTTGAACTATAAAAAATATCATTTCATGTAAAGGATAATGTTGAATTTATTGTGTTCTTAGTGGGAATAAATTTGAAAGAGTGATTCCCTCTTAATCATAGTGCAAACAATGGCATTTTTTAAATGTATCATTTTCTTTATCATTTGATTAAAGACTTTAATCAATAAGGTTATATCGTTTCCTGGATTATTTTTAGTGATAATTAAGGTTATGAAATAGCTATATATAAAATTTCTATTTTCTTTGATAGCATTTGAAATTTATTTCAACAAGATCCTCATCAAAATGAGTTGGATTAAATTATATAGGTAAGAGATATTTATTTTTATATTCGAAATTTGATATATTAATAAGATCAAAGCTTAATGGATATTCTTTAAATTTGGCTGCATTTATATAAATTCATCTTTATCTAGAGTTGGATAATCTTCGGAGATTTCAAGTGACAATAAGATGAGAAGATAACGTGATTAAAGTCATATATTATAATTTTGTTAAATTTTAAAGAAATAATAAAATTAGTATATACATATATGAAAATAGGAGAAAAAAAAAAATCTATGTAGTAAATATATAAAAAAATCAGTCTCATATCAATCATAAAAATTCGAACACTTAAAATCTGTTGCTGATTATTCCATGTAAATTAATCTCTAGGCATTTTTTCTAGAAAATTTTACTTTTTTTTAAGTCTTCATAAATGATGTCCTAAAAAGAACTTCATAATGTTTTTTTCTTATATTCAAAGAGACTAGAATGGAGATAATATTGTTTCAATAGTTATTATTATGAGATTCAATCTAATTTAATAATTTGAAAATCAAGAAAATTCCTTAGTATGAATACTATTTTTTTAAAGTCAAACCTATGGAGACAATTTGAGACTCACAGAGTCAGAAAAATTAATGAATATATTATGGGTCTTGTAAGAGGATCCGAGAATTAAGGATAATTTTCATCTGTTTAATAAAACATCAATTCAGGGTATATAATTTTAGGGAATATAGAAAAAAGAAGCAAAGAAAGTGGTGCTGATTTGCTAATCAATATTTAGATATAACAAGATACTAAAAGTAGATCTTGTCCCCTAAAATATATAAATTCAGCCTAAATCAAGGATTTAAGAACCTAATCTGTTTGTTCATACAGATTAGATCATATATAAGTGTGGAATTGAATTATAATGGAACGTTACTTATATATAGGTTTCACTAATAAATTTAAGAATTACCCTCTCTAGCCATTTTGGGATTAAAATTAACATTAGAATCTAGAATTTATTTCAGTGAAAGGCAAGAATATTAATAAATACAATTAATTAATTGTATTTACTTATGATAAATGAATAATATAATATCATTTTTTTATAAATCTACCTAAGTAATATCTCATATATTATATATGGATATATACTTATAAATTAAATTAATTTTTAAGATAATCTAAAATTATTTAAAATCAATATTAAACTCTGTTTATAATGAGCTTATTCATAAATTATATCAATAATAAATTGATATTTTTTTGATCTTATATAATTCTGTATTGTGGTTATATCAATAAATGCCATTTCTTAGATTGTATTTCTAATAAAATTTCATAAAATTGATATGATCTTTTTGATTAAAGTTTTTATTATAACGAATACATTAAAAGTTTGTAATAAAATATTATATCAATGTTACTTACTAATTATATTCATATATTTGAAAACACAGTTTTAGAATTCAAAATCTACTCAATACCAAATGGACTCCCCTTTATAATAATTTTTGATTAGTCCATTATATTCTAAAATAAATGAATACAGACCACAATAATCAATTTAATAAGAACTCTTAATATTTTGAATTTTTAAAGTTAATGAAACTACTCCTTGATGTGTAACACAAATGTAAATTGTATTATTTTTATTTTGAAGTGACTTCATATGGTTTAATAATTCTTAAAGAAACTTACCCACTCTAAGTTGAAACTAGTCTTACTCTTCAGGATAGATTGGTTAAATAAGTTTAGTCTTAATAAATTTTTCTATTTTAATTCCAATAAATAAAAGCTTAATATATAAGTTATATAATTAAATTTACTAACTTAATTTGAATAACATTATGATTTTAAGAACAACATAAAAATAGTCCTTTTTATAATACTTTCAATCATTAAGATTACTTGATATAATAATTTATGTCTGTGATTTTCTCATTAATTTATTATAGATAATTTTCCGAAGCTTCATAAAAAAAAGATTGATTTTGAAATAAAATTACTAATTTCTCATTTGATTTTATGAAAGGATTAAAACGTTATTAATTTTTCAATAATTAATTCAATCTTCAGTTATTATATCTCTAAACTTCTCTGAAGAGGATTTCTTCCAGTGTAATACTTAAATTCCAATGATTTATTTTATATTCTTAATTCATATTTTATTAAAGATACAGAATGGAGATTTTAAAAGGCTCTTTTTAATAAATTCAGTGAATTAATAGAGGAGTGAAAAAAAGCATCATTCTCATTAATTAAAGATAATTACAATTCAATGTTAATTAATTGATTTTAACACTTTTTTACTTGAAATAAATTTTAAATGAAACAACCTATTATAACTTAAAACAAATTTTATGTGATATAATTTTGCCAATAATAAATTCCAGCCAACAACTATTTAATTTTCATTCTTATAATTTTCTCTCACACTAAACCATGATTGTATTGCAGTTATTCAATTTTTTATTTCCTAAACGTAATTCTATAATAAACAGCTATTTTTCAGATGTTTAAATAATTTATAGATGTTATCGAACTTATGATTCAACATTTCATACTACCATTTAATTGCCATCTAAAGGTTATTTTATTAGAATCTATTAAAAATAAACAATAAACTATTTAAATAATCCAAAAATTAAACTTAAAAAATATCTTCATTGAATTATAGCAAATACCATGCATATGGGATTGTTATAGAATTCCTATGGAAAGAGCAAATAACTGAGAAAAATTAAGTCTTAATAATTTAGATTTGACTCATATCCCATTATTGGAAGGAAAAGAAAAGTTAAAAATTTTAATATTTTAACATAACAGAATTTCGTCAAACTAAAATCTTGTTCCCTTAAGAAGAATAATCCAATTACAAATTGGAAGCACTTGAAGAATTAAATTCTTTAATCAAATCAAACATTAAAATGAATTACATTGAGAATATAGATCACTTATAAGGTATAATCACTTATTTTATTAGTTCCTTCCTTAAATATAAAAATTAAGACTTCCAAACCTCTTGCTCCAAATGCAGCAAAATACAGTGAATTTATGTGAGAGTCTAATGATTGTTGAAGGTTAATTATTGCCGAAATTAGTTTGTGAATTAGCTAATTGAAAATAATTTAAGAAGAGAATCCAATTGAATATGAATTATCCCAAATACATTTGAATTCCGAATTGTCGAATCTGAAATCATTTAAAGCAATATCTATTAAAATAAGATGAGCATTAATCCAGTATAAGAAGAGTAAAATCCATCAGAAATTAGAATGTAATAAGCAAAAAATCTATTAGAGTCAGTAAGGTGGAGAATTGAAAAATAAAGACACAATCTTATCATAAAATATTATCGATTTGAGGAAAAATAAACAGTAACTGTTTATTTAGATTCTGTATTTGAAATAAACTTAATATGGTTGAAGGTCCTAATAAACTAATTCAATTTATATAAGAATTTATCCCTTTTGCCAAAGGTTCTCCATGATTATATAATTAACTAAGACATGCATGATATGTGATATTGTAGTTTACTTTCCATTCATTTCTGATAAAAAAGAGCAGTATTTTTTGCCTAAGGAATTGATCTATGAAACAATAGTCTTTGTTTCAAAACTTAATTAATGAATAATAATCTATTTTTCTAATAAAATAATTTACAAATTTTTTTGTAGAATAGAAGAACTTTACCACCATAATAAGTGGCTTTTAATAAGAATTTATTTAGTTGCAAAAATCATCTAATATAACTTGTATTTTAAGAAAAATAATAATATGATAAAATTAGATATCTTGCTTATTTTGAATGGTGTTAGACATCGAAGTATATTGATGCTATGTGACCAAGCAGTTTTCTTATCATAATCAAAAGACAATAGCCAAAGGAAGTAAGTATCCTTTTAGATTGTTTAATTGAACAATAATACAAAGACTTTATTGAACAAAAATTCATATTGAAATATGTATTTGATCATTTTTATTACAATTATTTAGCTCAATGATTCCTAAAATAATAAAAATATATTCAAGACCTTTCATAATGCATCTATGAAGGTCAAAATTGGAAAGTATCTTTTATAAAAAGTAAACCCTATTAATTTTTTACTTCCGCTTATTGTTAATTTAAACTTAATTAGAAAGCAGAATAAGTATGATGTGTGATTATTTATTCATAAATCTATTCGTTTTACTTAATCCTAAACTAAATGGTTTTATCATTACTACCTGATATAATTATATCTTTATTATTATTCATAATTAAGCAATTTATCCAAATATGATTTTCTTTAAGTGTTTATGAACTAATTCTATAATTAATGTAGTTTCTAGACCAAAGCACTTGAATTTAATTGAACTTTGCTTATCTGAGTTTTTTAAATTATATTTAATTATTACACTCAGCTACTAATATTGATCGATATTTATTAAAAACACTGCATAGTAATTTTCTCCTTATTTAATTGAATTACCTTATATTATTTAATAAGTATATATTTTAAAATGGAATTAAGATGAACATTGCATTTGTTATTTTTTATCATTATTGATTATGTATTATGATAATTATGTTGTTGTTTTGGATTATTCATGATATTAATCTTATTATGATTTAATTTCAATTTGATCTTTGATTTTAGATTTAATTATATATTGTTTGATTTAAACTTAGATTATCCTATTAGATGAAATTAATCAACATTTTGTATTTATTATTCTAATGACAGTTTATTATACCTATCTTATTGAAATAGATGTCAATCTTTTAAATTATTAATATTTTTTAATTAAATAAATGCTTGAACATAAATTGTTTAATTTAATTTATA